TGGACACAGTCTGGCTAAGAAAGTGGGCTTCTCTAAGGAGGAGGGGAGGGGGGTGTTCCTCTGAAATGTTCACAATGAGCTAGTCAGGAGGAAACTAGGAACAGATGCAGATGATGTCACCAACCCCTCTAATGACACAAAATAATGAGTGACAGGGCTGCATGAGCCATGGACACGTAACAAAAATTACACTTATATCTCCAGGCTTTGGAACCTGATACTAAAAGTTATCTTAGATGTTTAAATTGGGCCTCCATTAGAAAATATGAGATACTGCTAAAGGGGGACGGGGGGCAGAAAAAAATGAAAATCACAAAATGGAGTTAGTGGTTAGTAAGGAGCTCAGTTCTTCAGGACCCATGTATGCCGTGGCATAGCCTGCGCTCTCTCTCTCTCTCTCTCTAAATAAAAGTTTTAATTTATATATACATATTATGTATATTGGTCTTTTTAAGACAGGATCTCTTTGTAGCCCCAACTGGCCTGGAACTCGCTATGTAGACCAAGATGACCTTGAACTCACAATGATCCACCTGCCTCTGCCTCCCAAGTGCTGGGATTAAAGGCGTGTGTCACCACACCAGGCCAAAACAAAAATATTTTAAGAATCAGTATTAGAAAGAGGGCTGGGGCTGCAGTTCCGTGGTGGTATGCTTGCATGACATGTGCAAGGCCCTGGCTTTGATGCCCACCAACTGAAAACGAAGCAAAAACCCCACACAGGTTTTACTTAAATGCCCCCAAAGAGAACTGTTGGATCCATTTGTGGATCTTTAATTTTTTAAAATATTTTTAAATTATTTTTATGTGTATGTGTGTATTGCCTGCATGTAAGTAAGTGCACCTGTGTCGTGCAATGCCCACGGAGGTCAGAAGAGGCTGTTGGATCCCCTGGGACTGGAGTTACAGTTGTTAGCTGCCATGTGGGTGCTGGGATTCGAACCCGGGTCTTCTTCAAGAACAACCAGTGTTCTTAACCGCTGAGCCATCTCTCCATCCCCGGATCTTTAATTTAAAAAAAAAAATGTTTTGTTTTGAAACAGGGTGCTGCAAATTCCCTATTATGCATAGTCAAGGATGACCTTGAACTTTTAATCCTCCTGGGATTACAGGCATGCTCTTCTATGCTTGGTTTATGGGTTTATGAAAAAAAAAATGTTTTGTTTTGAAACAGGGTGCTGCAAATTCCCTATGCATAGTCAAGGATGACCTTGAACTTTTGATCCTCCTGGGATTACAGGCATGCTCTTCTATGCTTGGTTTATGGGTTTATGTGATACTGGGGATTGAACCCTGAGCTTTGTGTATGTTAGACAAGTACTCTATTAGCTATGTCTCTACCCCACTGGCAGATCTTTCCAGCAAAATACACCCACACATTAGAAATTTGATTGGAGAGGATGAAGATGATTGTAATCGAACCTAACTTGCACATGTGTCCCCTTTTTTGGACAGGGTCTTGCTAGGCTGGTCTCAGTCCTGATCCTCCTGCCTCAGCTCCCTTCTCCCCTTCTGGCAAGTGCTGGTACTGCAGGCACAAGTCATTGCTGGGTGGTTTCATAAACTCCTATGATAGTGATATGATCTAAGTATCATAAATTCAAGTATGAAATGGGGTAACAGATCAACTTGAGAGCTGGACTTCAATATGGACACTTGTCTGGCTGAAAGGGTTCCAGACAAAACTCACCGGCATTAGAGTCATCCTTTCTTAACATCAGTCCTGAAGACTGGCACTTTATGGCCAGTCCAAGACAGAATAACAAAATGTATCCAGACAGGAAATGAGTGTCACCCAGAAAGTCAGAGTCACCTGACTGTGACAGGAAGACAACAGTAGCTGATCAGGGTGGGGAGATTTGGACTGCCGTCCTTAGACAAAGAAAAGAGAGGGGTCAGGGTCTCCACTGGGAACCAGAGCACTCAAGCAGGGGAAGGGAAAGAGGCCCATTTAGGATGGAGCAGTTTATTTCCAAACAGAATTACAAACAGGAAAACTTTCTCATTGACACACTATATTTTCATTTGATTACTCTTGCTTCTAAAGTCGTCCATAAAAATCTGCTTTCCCTTTGCACCAGGAAATTAGCAAAAAGTCAAAGGTTAAACAGTCATGCATAAAATATTACATCCTCCAACATAACTATACAAGTCTTCGATTCTTCACAAGGCAATGATGATAAAACACCAGGATTAACGTACACATCATCACACTTCACAGTACTTTGGATTGTCCTTCATATATTAATGTCCTGACTTCACAGACTATAACAGTATTACAAAAAAGTAGAACTTTGCCATAAAATAGGAAAATACAACTAAGTTATCCTATACTGGAAAAAAGATCAAGTTGCAGAGCATAAACATTTACATAAGAATAAAAAGCCAAAGAACAATGTAACTCAAGTACTCCGTCAGAAGCAGTGGTTGATCCTTTTTCCGTTAACTCCTTTTTACCTTGGACAGCTCTTTAGACGTTTGGAATCAGGTGTTGTCTGTAATTACTGCAGAATTTTGTTCATGGTTCTGGAAAATGTCATTTTGAGGAACTCTGTGAATATGCTGTGTTGCTCTCTTTTTTAGAGACAACTTCAAAATATATTACATATTTATTTTTAAATATCTTAAATGTTTTTATTTTATGTACGAGTGTTTTGCCTGCCTCTATATAAATGCACCCGGGTCATGCAACACCTGAGGAGACCAGAAGAGGGCATCAGTACCCCTGGTACTGGAGTTATGGGCAGTTGTTAGCAAACGTGTGTGCTGGGTACAGAGCCCAGGTCCTATGCAAGAGCAGCCAGTGCTCTTAACTGCTGAGCCATCTCTGTAGTCCCTATTTCTTACCTTTAAATGGCACAAAGGAGAACAGTAATGGGCCTGCAGGTGTAGCTCAGGTGAGAGCTTGCTAAGTATGGGAGGCCCTGGGTTCCATCTCCAGCACCTTAAGAATAGTATTATAGGAGAGGGAAGCTATCACCAGTACAGGAGCTGAAAATCTCAGGTTTCTCTTTAAGATCCTTCCTCGTGGTTGTTTTCTCCTAAGCTACATCAATATACCTCATAAGTGTGAACAACTGTAACCCAGTGGAGGTCTTAATGCTAAATGGCAGATGCATAAAAACTTGTTTTAAGCAAAATCAGTCTTTTTTTTTTTTTTTAAGACAGGGTCTCCCATAGCCCCACCTGGCCTGGATATTCACCATGTATGGCCTCCATCTCATAGAGATTTGCCTGCCTCTGACTTCCAAGTGCTTGGATTAAAGGCATGCACCACCATGCCTGGCATCAAAATCAATCTTTAAAATTTTTTAAAATTTGTTTTTATGTGTATGAATGTTTTGTCTACATGTATGTAAGTGTACCCAATGCCTGCAAAGCCCAGAAAAGGGCAATAGTCCCCCTGGAACTGAAGTTACAGACAGTTATTAGCCACCATGTGGGTGCTGGGAACCAAATCCTGGTCCTCTGCAAGAACAGCCAGTGCTCTTAACTCTGGAGGTATCTCTCCAGCCCCTGCAAAAGCAGTCTGTAGAGATGTATATTTCTATGTATATAGAATCTACTAAAAATCACCATAGAGGAGACTGATACTCAGAGACCTCAAAGATCAAGTAATTCAGCACTCAGATTTTAGACAAGAGGGAAGAGGCCAGCAGCAGGGACTCCAATAAGTGAGTAGCCAGGTACCTTTCATACCTATAGCACACATACACACACACACACACACACATACATGGTTGCATTCACTTCTGTTTTTTACCTAAAGATGCTAGTAGCTTTTACAATAAATGAAAAGCCAGTGTACAAACTGTCGCCTGTTATCTTGCTGTTGTAAGTGGGAAATGTCCATCCTTCAAGAGTGTAAAGGTTCTGTTCTCACCACAGTGCCCAGCAGCACAACTCAGCCACTCTGTTCTCTGTGAGGTCCCTAAATGTAGCATGGGTTGACAGCAGAAGTCAAGGTGACAAGAAAGAGGGCTGGGTGTTCAGCTAGAATCTGGAATCCCTTGCTATGCTAAAGATGCCCCCACTGGCAGTGAAGACCTTTTATGAAGGTAAGGCTGGACTGTCAGAATGCCCAGGGGCCTGGCTGGAAATAAACTGAGGGACGTAGGCAGTGCCAGCATCTGCCCTTCACCCAGAGGAGCTCAGATGAGAGTGCTTCTGTCCATTAGGAGAGGAGATGAGCAGTGTGTGTCTTGCCTAAGCTACTGAACCACAGGTTGGTTGTCCCTCATCTGAAAAGCTTGGGATCACAGTGTTTCAAATTTTGAATCTTTCTCGACTTTGGAATATTTGCTTATACATAATAAGGTGCCTTGAGAAGGGGATCCAAGTCTAAATAAGACATCAATCTGTGCTTTGTATACTCCTTAGATGCATAGCCTGATGTTATGTAACGTCATACAATTTTTTTTCATGATTTTATACATGAAGCAACCCTCTTTGGTATGGAATTTTCCACTTATACCATCAGATGAACACTTGAAGTTCTGGGTTTTGGGGTGGTTCAGATTTCAGATTAGGAATATTCAACCTGTATAATTTGAATATTTTTACTAGGTGCAGAATTTCTGATTATTTTAGTTTGCATATGTATACAAATGTCAAAATATTTTACCTTAATGTATGATACTACTATTAATATTTTAGCTCCTTCCATAAAATTATAGGGGGGTATAATTCTGTGGTAGTATTTTTTGGAAAAATACTTTTTATCTTAAAATTTTTATTATATATCTTTCAGAAAAATCCTGTTTAGCTATATATATTAACATTAAATAACTTTAAAAAATAAACAATACATTATACCAAAATAGTCCCAATTTACAAGTGAAAAAGTTGAGTTTTCAAGAGTGGACTAGCCCTTCTTTCAAGAATGAGCTAGACCGTCTAAGGTACTTTTC